AAACACAAAAGCTAGATGAAATAGAATTTTACAACCTTTATAAAAATTCACTCAAAATAGGTCACAGACCTAAAAGTAAAAGCAAAACTCTATAATTCCTAGCAGATTGCATAGCACCTAGGTCACTGAAGGTATGGCCATAATTCTTTAGGTACAATAGAAATGGCATGATCTATGAAAGAAATTGCTAAGTGGAACTCATTCAATTAAAAACTTATGAAAGACAAGTGTTAAGAGAATGGGAGGACAAGCTCTAAACTGGAATATTGCAAAAGACACATCTATTAAAGGACTACCATCAAAATATATGAACTCTTAAAACTCAAAATTGAGATGACAATTTGATTCAAAAATAATCTGAAGATCTCCAATAGACCTTTCACCGAGGAGGATATACAGATGAAAAACAGACACATGAAAAAAAAGTCCATAAGCACATGTTACACATCATTTACATTGGTAAATACATATTAAAGCAAAAGGATAGCAGTACACATCTATGAGAATGGCCAAAATCCAGTCCTGACAACACACAATGGTGGTTATGATGTGGGGCCGTTGGCGCTCATATTTATTGCTAGAGTCAGGAGAGGGGGAGGTTGCATACAAAATTAGGCATATTCTTGCCATATGTCACTTTCACTGACATTTGCCAAATGCATCTAAAAGCTGAGGTGTACATAAAAGCCTGAATAAAGGTGTTTATTGCAGCTTAATTTATAGTTGCTAAAACCTGGAAACAAACTGTGTTGCCCTCCAATAGGTGAATGGAAAAATCAATTTTAGGACAGCAAAAAATACTCTGATACAATAATGGTAGGCACACACCATTATATGTTTGTCCATAACCATCAAAATGCAATAATGAAGCCATGGATTTACAATGACTAGTGATAATGTAAGTTCATCAATTTTAACAACAAAAAAATTGCGTGTGGGGCAAAGGGGGCGGGGAGGGTCAGGGGGAGAACACACCTTGTGGAACGCAGGGCTTACTCTTGGCTCTGCACTGAGAAATCATTCCTGCCAGTGTTCAAGGGACCACATGGGGTGCCAGAGATCAAACCTGGCCCTGGCACATGTCATTCAAGTGCCCTCTCCACTGTACTACTGCTCTAAGATGTCTATTGAAATAAATAAACCATTCTGGTGGAGAATAGTAACAGAAAGACTAAGGATGTTTGCAGGGGCGCAGTGTATTAGAAATCTCCCTACTTTCATCTAAATTGTGCCAGGAACCCAAAACAGTTCGGAAAAAAAAATAATAAGGACTTTTATTTTTTTGGCAGGGGGGTGGGGTGTTTGGAGGCATACTCAGTGATTCTCAGAGGTTTCTCCTGGCTCTGTACTCAGGAATTACTACTGTCAGGGCTTAAGGGCTCATATAGAATGCCAGCGATTGAAGCCAGGTCAGATGCATACGAGGCAAACACCTTACCTTTACCTGCTATACTGTCTGGCCTCAAAATAAGGTCTTTGAAAGAAATAACTTGATGTTTTCTTTTTTTTAATTTTTATTAGTGAAACACCATGAGGTACAGTTGTAGACTTACAAATTTTTGTGCTTGGGTTTCAATTATACAATGATCAAGTACCCATCCCTCCACCAGTGCCCATTTTCCACCACCACGGATCCCAGTATCCCTCCCACCCCCCATGCCCCCTATCCCACCCTGCCTCTGTGGCAGGGCATACCCTTTTGTTCTCTCTCCTTTTGGGTGCTGTGGTTTGCAAAAGAGGCATTGAGTGGCAATCATATTCAGTCTATAGTCTATAAAGAAATAACTTGGTATTTTCACCACTGAAAAATAGTAAGGTGATTAAGTCTCAGCCTGGTTTTAAGGAACTGCAAAGAGTTATAAGAATTCTTTTTATAAATGTTTATATTGTGAATTTGTTTCTTAGTAATCACAAAAAACAAACACAGTCCTCCCGCTGTTCATCGATTTGCTCGAGTGGGTCCGGTAACGTCTCCATTTTGAGACTTGTTGTTACTGTGTTTGGCATATTGAATACGTCATGGGTAGCTTGCCAGGCTTTGCTGTGCAGGCGAGATACTCTCCGTAGCTTGCCCGGCTCTCCGCGAGGGGTGGAGAAATCAAACCCAGCTCGGCAGGGCTGCCTTTGCACATAGCAAACGCCTTACCCGCTGTGCTATCACTCCAGCCCCTGGAAAAAAAAATGAGTGACATTAAAATCACAAAAGGCACATATAATTATAATAAGATTTTAATTATTGAAACAAGTCAAGGGCCATACCATGTGTTCTTTTATGCAATACCACAAGTCTGAGATGTTCTATTCTCATTTTACAGACTAGGAAACTGAAGCATTCCTTAGTTTTCATTCAGATATTTTATTAACATTTCCTAAGTCTCAGAAATTCTGAAATGCCAAGAAATATGATACCAATCAACTTCATTTTCCTGTAGGTAAAAGAACTATCTCTTTAAATTTAGCATAATCCTTTCTAAGCCAAAAAGAATTTGCACTCCAAATTCTACTCAAAGCATTGATATTCCTAATAGAGGAGATGTAGGAAGGATGTATGATAGAAGAGGCAGATTTCATCTAATTGTGTACTGTCCAGGAAGATAGATTGGAAACATAAAGAGCTAATAACACCAAAGATTTTCTTTGCTAGGTTATCTTTTATACATTAATTATACAGAAGAGCCTGCTTAAATGGATACTCTTCTGTGAAATGTTTCTTTTAAGAGACAGTTCTTTTCCTTACTCTGCACTTGAGTTGGGAGATATTATCAGAGACCTATCAAGGAGATTAGTTGATATGGTGAGACAGAGTTTATTTCATTTGTAGTATATGCTTGGGCATTTAACTGACCAATGAATCATTGTATAGAAGACTGTGTTACTATGATACAGTCAAATCATCCCTGTTTTAAGCTCCTCTATGACTTTAGAGCAAATATATCCATGAAAACTGCTTAAACTTGGCAAATTGTTAAGACTCTTATTTCTGTTTCAAGGCTAGAGAGCAAGTTCAGGTAGCAGGGTGCTTGTCTTGAACACAGCCGACTGTTTCAATCCCTACATTGCGGATGATCTGAGAATCCCCAGGACTCTAAGAAGTCAGGAGTAAGCCCTGAGCACTGCCAGGTGTGGCCACAACCACTCCTCCACCCCCACAAAAAAGAGTAATTGCACTTTCACAATTGAAGTGATTGAAGCCAGGTCAGATGCATACAAGGCAAGCACCTTACCTTTACCTACTATACTGTCTGGCCTCAAAATAAGGTCTTTGAAAGAAATAACTTGGTGTTTTCTTTTTTTTTTTTAATTTTTATTAGTGAAACACCATGAGGTACAGTTGTAGATTTACAAATTTTTGTGCTTGGGTTTCAATTATACAATGATCAAGTACTCATCCCTCCACCAGTGCCCATTTTCCACCACCACGGATCCCAGTATCCCTCCCACCCCCCATGCCCCCCATCCCACCCTGCCTCTATGGTAGGGCATTCCCTTTTGTTCTCTCTCCTTTTGGGTGCTGTGGTTTGCAAAAGAGGCACTGAGTGGCAATCAATATATTGGCACAAGACAATATAGTTCACAGTCTCTTACTAGATGGTCATTTTAAACATCATTTATAAAAGTTACCGGATACATTTTTATTTTAATCTGCCATGTCTTGGGGCCACCATAATAGTATGGTGGGTACAGCTTTTGCCTCACAGGTAACCAGTCCAGGTTCCATTGTGGCATCCCATGTGGTCCCCTGAGCCCTTTAGGTGTGATACCTGAGTACAGAAATAGAGTAAGCTCTTAGCGCAGCCAGGTGTGCCAGCCCCCACTCCCGCCTTGCCTAATAAAAACAATCTCCCACATTTTGGAGGCAGACAAATATTTCAAGGATAAAGGTGCTGAACTTGCATTGCAGCTGAGCCTGGTTGGAATTCCAGCACTGCACACACACCTTGAGCTGCCCCAGGGGTGTGATCCCTGAGCTCAGAGTATGAGGGCTTCCCAGTGTGACCAAATATCAAATGTTCATGCTTTTCTATTACTCAATACAATATCCCATACAATTCATTAGAACACTGTAAACCATTTTTCATACTGAAAGTTTATTTTTTCAGTTCTAGAGTGCTATGGGTATCTTGCTTGAATTATAACCTGATCTGTTTTCATTTTTGAAAAACACATAACTTTAAAATCAGAAGAAATAATAAAATTTGCCTGGCTTGTCTTTCATGTTGTTTCCTTTCCTCATCCTAACTGGGAGTTAAAATAGTTCTGCTTTCACACCATTGCCAGCAACTTCTTTTTCTGTACTATTTAATGTGAGAATGGAAAATCTTGTTTTTTAAATAATTGTCTATGTGATTTATTTTATTTATTTTTTTTGTTTTTGGGAGGTCATACCCAGCGATGCACAGGGGTTACTCCTGGCTTTGCACTCAGGAATCATTCCTGGCTGTACTCGGGGAACCATATGGGATGCTGGGAATCAAACCCAGGTCAGCTGCGCAAGGCAAACACCCTACCCTCTGTACTATTGCTCCAGGCCCTGTGATTTATTTTTTTCATGAAGTTGTTCAAAACTTATTTTCCTATACTGTGTCAGTATTTCTTTTTCTAACTAATCAAATCAATGTTCACCATTGTCCCAGTTATCCCATAGCTTTTCTCCAATCCTAGCTTCGATGGCCTCCTGCACACTTAAAAGCTTGTAACTACAGAAAGTGAATTCTGTTTTCTTCATAGTCATTGTTATTACCTTCTCTGACTTATGTTTTCTCTTCTTTCATAACATTTTTAAAACAATTTTGTTCCGAGAGTTAATGTGCCTCATCGCTTCCAGCTAGATTTTCTTTTCTTTATTAGTGAATTATTAAATTTCTTTTTTTTTCTTATTTTATTAGCTTCAGTAAAAGGAATTCAAAGCTCTCGTTTAAATTACTGTACACACTCACCTATGTGCACCATGCACTCTACACTTAACTAAATCGCTGTAAACTATTGTGATTCTCTTTCAGAAACATGACGGCCACTTCACGGTCATCCAGTTGGTGGGTATGCTCCGAGGCATTGCATCAGGAATGAAGTATCTTTCTGATATGGGTTATGTCCATCGGGATCTAGCAGCTAGGAATATATTAGTCAACAGCAACCTCGTATGCAAAGTTTCCGACTTTGGTCTTTCCCGAGTACTCGAAGATGATCCAGAAGCTGCTTATACGACAACTGTAAGTTGACATTTTTCAATACGAATTCTTTATTTCATTGCCTTAGTATTATTACAGTAATTGCTGCCTTCTAAATTTTCTGCTTTCATTTCTCATTTTTCCAATGTAACATTGTTTGAGAACCATTTGATTTATCCCACTGCCTACTTAAGAAGAAAATAAAATCTTCTAGGCACTAGAGAAGCAGTGCAGGAGTTCGGGAGCTTATGATGCATGCTCCTCACCCCTCGCACCACCTATGGTACCCCAGACAGCGCCAGAAATGAGCCCTGAACATCACTGGTTGTTGTTGGCCCCATCAAACAAAAAGTCCAACTTTGATTGCCAGCTATCTATCATTTTACTGGGGCTTGTTTGTTTGTTTTGTTTTTGTTTCTGGGCTACATTTGGCAGTACGGGGACTTATTCCTGGCTCTGCTCTCAGGGAATACTTCTGGCAGCCTCTGGGAAGGATATGGGGGCCGGGGGATTGAACCTGGTTGGCCTGTGCAAGGCAAACATCCTACTTGCTGTTCTCTCTCTCTCTCTCTCTCTCTCTCTCTCTCTCTCTCTCTCTCTCTCTCTACAGTTGCTGGAACTTTTCCTTTAACATCCTAAGGTCCTTGTGACTACCCTCATAATTAATTTGATTTTTGCCTGCACTACTTTTTTCTTCAGTAATTAGCTCCTTTAAATAGAGGCCTACAATACAATCCATTAATGTCAGTGATAATGAACCAGATGCTATGAAATTATTTTTTACCCACAATAAATACAGGAAATGATTCAACTATGCTTAAAAATGAAAAATATAGATTTCTCTGAAGATAATTTAAGTACAATTTAAAATTTTTCCAAGTGATACTTAGGAAAATCTAATAAAAAATGAAAGGTTAAAATTTTAAGAACCAACTGTATCTGAAAATTATATGTCGTAATGTAATTCATGAAGAGTTTGTGTATTTTTGAATGCCTTAAATATAATTTATACCACTAATCTCTTTGGTCTTTTCTGAGAATTTCAATATCAAAATGTCTGCTTAACTTTCTTAGAGCTAATAATTCTAAACTTATACCATACTGCTCTATATATAATTATACTTTTTAAATGAAACAATGATCATTTGGAATTCATCTTCAATGAGAACTCAATCAGTAAAACTATTCAAGATATTTTTAATCTGTTCTTTTTCTGAACTTCCACATTATAATAATTCTGTTTCATTGATTTATTGTATTGATTTATCATCAGTTTGAAATATCATAGAATTTATCAGTGATTTACAATACTATTGAATTTTAGAGGTATAACTCAATTTATATATATAATACTCACTCCGAAGTTCTAATCTCATCTCATTATCAAAATGGCCATTCTATCCATTCCTCTCACCCCTCTCTATCTCTGATAACCACAATAGTTTTCAAGAAGTCTAAAATAAAGTTTTATGAGAGTTTGGAAGTTCATTTACTCTATTTAGAGTTCATATATGAGTGAAACTAAAATAATTGTTTTTCACATCCTTATTTATTTCACTTGACATAATTACTTCAAGTTCTATTTCGTTCTGGTGTCATGATTTCATCTTTTTAATGGAAGAGTAACGTTCTATTTGGTTTAAATATTATAGTTTCTTTATCCAGTAATCTGATGACGTACATTTAGTTTAATTCCTTTTTTTAGCTATTGTGAATAAAACTACTGTGAGCATAGACTTTTGAATTCATGTTTCCATATCCTTTAGATTAATACTGAGGAATGGTATTGTTGGATCATATGTGTTTTCCACTTTTACCTTCTTAAGAAATATCCACATAATTTTCCTTAGGGACCACGTCTACCTTCCACCAATGCTATACTAAATTTCCTTCTTCTACACACTACTCTTTCCGATTTTTTAGATATAAGTCACTCTCAGCGGTGTGACCTATATCTAAGTCCTATTGTAATTTTGATTTGCATTTCCATATATCTTATTGGAGACCTAAGTTTCATTGTGATTTTTAAGTACGTTTCTACAATAAATGATGGTGAGTATATTTTTATGTTTTGGGGGGGGCTGTTAGTCTATTTTTTGAGAAGTGTTCATTCCTGTCTTCTGCCTGTTTTTTGATAGATTCACTTTTGTGTTGTTGAGTTTGTGCTTTCTTTATATATTTTTGCTTATCAGATATATGATATACAAAACTGTCACCCTATTTCTATGTTACTTTTTCATGCTTATGGTAGATTTTGAATTATGTAAACATTCTTAAAATATCAGTGGTCTCGTTTGTCTAATCTTGCTCTTGTTTCCCTTTCCAGTGGATCTGAGTGTCTAAGTACATCTCTGAGTTCCTAGTGTGGTTCACCTGTTTTCTTCTGTATAATTTTTGGGCTTAATACCTAAATCTCTGGGTTTTGTTGTTGTTGTTGTTGTTGTTGTAGTTGTTCTCTAGATTTGTTTCACCTTGGAATTCTATATTGACTTTAGAATTATTTAGAAAAATGTGGCTTAGAGTCTGGAGCGATAGTACAAAGTGGAGGGCATTTGCTTTGCAAATTGATCCTGGGTTCAATCCTGCCCCCCCCCCATACAACACCCTGAGTTCATCAGGAGTGATTCCTGAGAGCAGAGCCAGTAGTAATTCCTAAGCATTACCAGGTATGCCCCACCCCACCCCCCAAAAAAAGAAAAAAATGTTGCTTTAGTCTCCACATTTGAGATCTTCCCCCTCTTTGTCGTTGTTGTTGTTTGTTTCTACTTTCATACCATTGTGATCAGAAAATATGCTGGATAGTGATTTGATCTTCACATACTTAATAACACTTTTATGTTCCACCATGTATTTTTCCTGCATTTTTTGTCAGTTGCTTTTAAGTATTTTACCTCTATTGAGGTAATTTCTGAATTGCTGACATTATATACATTGAATTGTGTTAACTTTTTGGCAAATTTTGGTGCCCCTGTGAGGTATGCAGATATTGATGATCATATGTCTTATTACCTTTTCTTTAAAGTCTGTTTTATAAAATATGAGTACAGTGGTGTCTTCCTTTTTCTCTGCATTACTGATTTGAAACACCTTACTTCAACCTTTTATTCTTCTCCTTAGTCTTTACATATGATGTGAGAATCTTATATGCGTTGTCTAGATGGATCCTGCATTATTTATCCAGCCAGCACTTTGTATGTTTTAAATGCTGAGTACACATTCTGGAAGAATGTTTTTATATGGATGTTTTTTAATGCTGCTATATCTTTTCTTTCTGTTCATTTTGTTTCTATATTCTTTTCCATTTATTTCTATTTGCTTTTTCATTTGAATCAGCTTCCATTCTAATTCCTTTAACTTCCTCATCTGCTTTCTTAAGTGTTTCTGCTCCAGATTTTTGTTCTGTGGATACCAGAAGGGTTGTATTAAGCTTATTTTATCTAAAAATATATGTTTTTTTCTCTGTCGGTATTAAACCATCTTCATTTGACTATGCAGATTCTGTTCTTTGCTTCCTGCCCTTCTATGATTTTTTTTCTCAACATCTCAACAAATAACTATTTGTTCTTTTGTGTGCATGAATGTTGGTTCAGGGGAGTTCTGAAGGAGTTAGACTCAGGACTTACCCCTGGCCCTGCACTGACAGTTCAGTCCTGGTGGACTTGAGGGACCATAGGAGTTGCCAGGGATCAGTGTGAGGCAAGGACCTTACCCACTGCACTATCTCTCCAGCCCCAATTTCTTCTTATTTTTATGACTATCACCTTCATCAACGTTTTATGATCGTTAATTTTCTTTTTTCAGGTAGAATTATTTTCCATACTTCTTATAAAGCAGGTATGATAGGTGGTAAATTTTATTGTATTTTTATCTAAAAATCATTTTGTTTCTTCATCATACTAGAAAAAACTACTTCGTAGGGGTATGGTGCCGCCAGCAGGTCAATCTGTACCTGTGAGTTGAGTGCATCAGCAGCCTGATGGCAACATCAGACTTTCAGATACCCCAAAATTGCTGCAAACTTGGGGCAAAGTTTACCAAGAAAGTAAACGGACAAAAGTTAGGTATGTGGGAGACACATCAACAAACCACCTCTGGCTCAGCTATATAATTGGAGGCATGGCTTCTCTGGTTCCTGATTGAACTGCTTAATGGCCATGATCCCAGAGACTCAGAAACGAATCTTGGAACCCAAAGGCTTTTGGCAGAAATGCGTCCTGTTCCTGCAGTAGGTTACTGGCGCTGGGCCACTCCAGGTGGGAATAGGTTTTGTGCCTTGGCCTGTTCCCCCTGGTGGCCTGGTGACCACCATCCTCCAGAGGCCAATGGACAGTCAGGTTTGGTTCTGCAGTGACGAGACACACGGGGCCTCACCACACGGGGGTGGAGCCGACTCTTTCTCCCCATCCCAACTAGACCCCGAGTCACCGCCTACAAACGGCCTCTCTGGCTTCTGATCAAGCTGATTAATAGCCATGATACCAGAGACTCAGAAACAAATCTTGAAACCCAGCGGCTTTTGGTAGAAATGCATCTGGACTGCATACAAGGTGGCTGATGGCTCAAAGCTTATAGGAAAGCCAGGTAGGAGCCGGCAGTGATGGGGCAACTACAGTCTCATGGGAAAGGGGACTGTACCAGCACATCCTTCACACCCTACCGAGGTCACAATTTGCCTACCACGAGCGGCTCTCTAGCACGGCCATAACACCAGACACACAGAAACCAATCTCATAATTATCTGGCTCTTTGCAGAAATCCAAAATCATGGCCATGTGACATTATATGATTCTCATAACCAGCTATAGAAAACAAAATATTTCACAATGCCTTTTCAGCAATTCTGATTGTTTGGAGGAAAATTCTAAACAATAGTGATGCATCTTTTGTTGAAATAATGAATGTAATCAATGTAGAGAAGAGTTAAGTAGAAATCATCTGCCTCACAGGCATTAGGAGGGGTGGGAGGGGGGGTATATTGGGGTTCTTGGTGGTGAAAAATGAGTACTGGTGAAGAGAAAGGTGTTTGATCATTGTATGACCGA